GGCACGATCTCTGCAACACCTGGTATCTGCCAGACTCTGCCTCAACCATCTCTGCCGATCTCTGCTTGACCCGATCTGTGCCTCACAGGATCTTTGATTGACTCGGTCTGTGCTCAACACGGCCTCTGCTTGACTCGTTCTCTGTCTCACACGGTCTCTGCTTGACTCGATCTGTGGCTCACCCTGTCTCTGTCGAACGAGGTCCTTGCAGAGACGGCCTTGCAGAGATCGGATCATAGAAACATTGGTGGAGAGACCTATTCCGGCAGAGACCGGGTCCGTCAGAGACAGGGTGCGGCAGACACTGGGTAATGCAGACACCAGTTCTGGCAGGGATCGTGTGGGGAGAATTTTGAAAAAAGAATTCAAAATTTTCGAAATTCAAAAAAATTTAGGAAAATGTCCACAAAGCGCACAAAACTAAAAAAGTGGCAGCAATTTTAAAGAGAACTTGCAATATTCACAACTGAATGCTACTCGACATATAACAGAATGCAAACTACATCCACAGATCTGAAAACAAATTTCGCATTAATGTCACGTAACTTTACTACGTGTAGGACTTAACCGACCGATAAGCATATAGCCATATTTTAAGGATGGAGGGGACCCGGTCGATTGTTACTCTCGATTCGGCTCAGGCTTTTGTAGTATGGAAGTGGATGCTCCTCTGACTTACAGCCAAGATATGAAGCGTTGACACTCCGCAGTTTCTCTGTAATACACATCTTTATTTTTAATGCTCTTCACTGTTATAATAGACTACCAATTATCCGGTTTGGTTGGAAAATATATTTTTCGGGATAATCGAAACTCTGAACAATCCGGAAAAATGACACAAATGCAACAAATAAGTAAGTTTATTTGCAGACTCCATAAATTTAAAATTTTAAAGAAGAAAAAACAAAGTGTTTTATATAAAAATTAATACAGTACATACCAACTATATTTTGAAAAAGGATTCTAATCAATAGTAATAACGTTCTATTGTCGTAAAACTTCAGGTTTTAGCCACAAGTGATTTATGCTATTACGTGAAACAATGTGGCATTGTTGCTGTATTTGTTCCCTTCTATTTAAACCTTCCAACTTATACAGCAAATTTTTCAAATTGATCTTTAATTTTTGTTTCAAACAGATATATCCCGGTTAACCCGCCCCCGCATAATCGGGAGTCTATTGTACTTCACATGTCTCGTAAACGGAAATCCCCTTCGGTCCCTTTCACACGTTACTTTTTCACCAAAACTGTAGTAGTGGAAGAAACCCACAGTTCTGTTCTTTTTGGTTGTCTGGTTAAACTCAGTGCTGCAGTGTTATGGACATACTACGTACATATTTGCTTTTATTTACTGTATCATCATCGGAAGAAATCCGTAAAATGCAGAAGTGTTGGGATCATCCTTTAATTATGCAAAGAAACAAAGTTTGAGCACTCTGAATCCAGCATGAAGAATTTAAAAAAGTTTAACCGTCGTTATTACCATTTGAACAACAATTGCAACGCTTACGTATCAGTTTAATTCGACAGCATATAATAATGAGAAAGTGCATTTCATTTTCAGAAATGTTGGCGAGTTTTAAAAATCGAATATCAGTAACGTAATTTGTAAAATTTTCACAAAAAATTTGCCACATCGTTTATCATTAACGTAGATACTATAGGTGAAAGTCTGATTATCGAGTGAACTGCGCTTATCACTTGAGGAATCAGATGGAGATAACGTTTGAATTGTATGTCCGTTCCATTCGTAAAAAAGTGGACTATCTTGTCACGAATTCCAGCCCATTTTTAAACATTGCGTGTCTTATCACCTTGCTGTGCGGTCAGCCTAATGGGCAGGAGACGAGAATGTTGAACAGTTAAGAGTTAAGTGACAAAGCGCGTGACTAATCGATATCAGAGTAAAGCAATGAACAGAAACAGCAGTGAGTGAGAAGTGTCATACAAATCAGTCTCGTGATTAGTGTTTCCTACCATATATTTTGCTGTGACATTCGTATTTTGTTTGATTGAGTAATGGGAATCTATCGTCTAGAAAGTTACCTAGAAAAAGACGTCCCTAATCAATTTTGCTGGCAGGTATCTATTAAGAAACTGGCTGATGAATTTAGGGACCAAACCAACAGAGATCCTGTGATGATTGTTGACGGTTCGTATTCTCTGAGGACGATCTACGTTCAAAGTGGCGAAGAGTGGATGCAGGGCGGTCAGATGAAGAATTTCGTGAAGACCATGAAGAAATTCGTATCTACGTTTGAGGTAAGGTACCACCATTGACCGCTGCTTCGTGTTCCGGAGGTCTTCAATTATATTCTCGACCTAAAAGCTGGCTGTCCTGAGTTTGTTTTTCCCCTAAGGCATATCCTGTGACAGTGACCTTAAAACAGAGCAGATCGCTGTTTTTTAAATCCATCATCCACTGCCATCCTTCCAATAGTACAAAAGTTTCATTTTGTATTCCTTTGGTCGCCCTGCTAATTCAACGCGTAGTTTCCCGCGCCTGGCAGTACTTCTGCTTTATTTTAAGTTATATAATATTATGCTCTCCCTATCCACCAGGTAAGGGAATTGAATAAGGAGCGGTAACCCTAATTTACTAAATAAGACTCCAATTACAAAAGTTACATTATTAATATTTAATTATAAAATATATTTCACTGACCCATTAACTAGCTCGAACCAGACCAAGTATCTCGCCTACAGTCACAGTAGAACAAACAAGTACTCACCCAGACCACACACCAATGCGAGCAACAGCAACATGGCGAGCACGAGCGACACAGATTCCAGTAGCAATCTTTATTAATTGCGAGAGCCCTTTTTAGTACCAATCCTTCGATTTTATACAGGTCAAAAGACGCGCAGTTATGACGTGGTTCACGGGAACCGCCCTGGAATCGGCGTTTCTCATTGGTCAATTGGATTCGTAATTCCCCTAACCACACTATGGAAGTCACGTATGCATTATTTCCCAAGAAAATACAAAACTTGGATGTTGACTTCTGCGGTAGGAAGAGTCGTTGGTTTAATCCGGCTTCTCCGGACTTCCCACCAGTCATTCTGTATTTTGCGTAACACTGTGAAATCCCAAGATTACTGAAACAAGTGCTACCCAGGGGTGCAAATACACGGCAAGGGGCCGCTGGCACAACAATAATAATTATCAAATTAAACAACACAAATTCCATTCTCGAGGTTTTTCACTATTTTACGCGTCGTATTAATCATAACTCGTATTTTCTGATATGAGGCAACGTTTTCATCATTACAGAATTACACTATGCTGCAGGATATATGCACGCGAGCGATAATTCCTGCCCCACTCCATTGTGAGTGTAATCTGTTAACTCAGTGGTCCGATAAACGGTCACATTGCAGAGTAGTCCAGCCTAGTAACTGCCAGTAGGATTGCGTGTTCTGAGAACAGTCATTCCATCTGGGACTTCTATATTTACATGAGCCACATCACGTCACTTGTAGTGCGCACAGTATACCAAGAAGTGCCGTGGATATGGGCGTGTTCCGTCTGCAGACATTCCTAGATAGGGACGTCCCGAATGAATATTGCTGGGAGGTCAGTGTGAAGGAACTGGCGGACGAATACAGGAACGAAACTGGAACAGATCCCGTGGTGATTGCTGATGGGTCCAACTGTTTGAGAAGTATACACGATACAGCAACAGACGAATGGATCCTAGGTGGGCAAGTCAAAGAGTTCGTGCAGGATATGAAGAATTTCGTGGCTGCATTTCAGGTAATACAACGTGCACTGTTGAGGGAAATGCACCTACCTTCAAGTCGTCGGACTGACCTATAACGTACAAGTGTGAGATTCTTATGGCGGTAATGACGTCGGTGTTGGTCCTCTGGGTTGTCACGGCGCGTGGACTTGTGGGTAGATTTCAACGTTTCGGAGAAGCTTACTGTCTCCATCTCAAAGTCTTGACTTATGCCCTGAAGATGGAGACAGCATGTTTCTTCGAAACAACATCAACGTCGACATTATACGCGTAAGTTCAATTCATGGTTGCGCCGCCAATAAAGCTACGTGAGCAATAAGGAAAGAATCCATGAGCTCTGATAATATTCAATGACCGAAGAGCGACAAGTTATTTTCCCGGAGAGCTGCATGCAAAATTCAGTTATTCGTCGATGCTACGGCTATGTTGGGGTGAGCGTATTCTATGGGCATTTCTGTATATTCTGATTAAAACAAACGTGTGTGTGTGTCACTTCCTGACATTTGACACACACTGTGCATTACTAATGTATTCATAATATATTCTCAACAAAAGGTTTCGTTTGTTATTTCCTGGAAGTGAAAATGTGAGATTACACTGTTGAAGCACTGTAAACTCCACTTGGTCTCAACAATGCCTGTCCGCGCCTACGGACTAGTAGCAGCGATTTATCTGTTTCATGTGATGACATTTTCGTGAGAGCATCTGCGTTTCGGTGATATCTAACAGCCCCAATAACCTCCAATGCTGCGCAACAACTGGTTACAACATTGGGACGTCTGTTTCAATTTTTGCGAAACAAGTGATATATATATAAATGGACGAGCCCGTAAGGTGTTCTTTACTCATGTCTGACAGTGAAGCATATCTGCAAAGGCAGAACGATCGGGTGGCCCCCTAGAGACATGACATTCATATCAAATTTCATGAAAATCTGTCATTTGATTCAGACTTTCTTGAAAGTGCATAGACCTGTTAAGAGAACTTGGTAGGTGAGAATGGTTCGTGTGTTAGGTCCAATAACTATTCACAAACATCACATTTGGTGAACGTTTTCTGAGAAAGCATTATTATGTAAACCATTCACATGTTGTGTCTTCGTTTGCTGGTTAGTTTTAAGTTATATAAAAATAAGTGACATGAATTTTGAGTTTGAATGTTCAGTATTATAGGCTTACTTCATCCTTTAATCTTCGTCATAGAAAATGAAAATTCTGATCAGAAATGTTGTAAGACGTATGATGTAACAGTAACATTTTTAAAGACATAACATCTAATACTCCTGTATCCAAAAATACACATTACTGGAATGAATTTACAATACTTCCTTCTCTTGCAGGGAATTGGGGTGCGAGTGATGTTCTTCTTTGATGGGATCACTCAGGAACAGAAGAGGGGTGAATGGTTACAAAGAAGGGGTTCTCAGATAAAAAAGGTTATGGACTTGTTTAATAACCTGAACAACAAAAATGTTGAGAAGTCAAAGTATTCTAGTTTCCTGTTGCCACCTCTAATTGGAGCCACTGGTCGGTTCATAGCCAAGTTTGAGTGCGGATGTGACGTTCGAATATCTATATCTGAATGTGATGCGGAGATAGCAGAATATGCCCAGCGCGAAGGCTGCTTTGCCATCTTGTCTCGGGACACTGACTTCATCCTCCTAGATGGTGCTCGTCACTACCTGTCAATTGAACGGCTAGACATGGCAAAAATGACTACAGTTACTTACAGTCGAGAGGGCCTCTTAGACTTCTTGAAGATTAACCAACAACAGCTGTTTCTGCTGGCTAGCCTACTGGGCAATGACACTGTTCACTTTCATAAACTGAAACACTTCCACAAACGGTTCTCCCACACTGGATATATCTTTGAAGTCCTACCTGGTATTGTTGAGTATATCAATAAATGGAATTTCATCGGCTACTACAAGGATGAGGACCTGCGTGAGATAGCAAGGGATGTGTTTGGAGATGAAAATATGGCCAATGACCTTTCAGTTAGCATTAAAAGTTACCTCCCACCCTCTAGAGAGAGAACTGGAATAACTCCTATGAATGACATACAAGTAAGTGAACAGAAGCCAAAGTATTGGAAAGCAGTTCTTATGTATGATCTAAAACTTTCACGGCAGACTAACTTAATGAAATCCTCTTGGGCTATCATCAGTGTCATTTGACATGGCTGAAACCCCAAGAGAAGTTTAAGAATTTGGTTCACTGTGAAAGTTTTATATCATAAAATAGTTCTCACATGATATGACAATTGAGTTAATATGGACATCACACTATAGACACTGAATTAAATTCTGTGAGCAAGCATTTGTAAAATGAAGCAGTTATTAAGTAACTAACTTCATGCCATAAAATCTCGTTGAAAATGTAGTTTCACGGTTCGTCAAGAAATTTCCTACTTTTTTGGAACTAAACAATTACTGTCATGTTTGCATGCCCACCAATAGACCCCATCCAGAACAAGTTCCATCTGCCTCCAATTCTCAAAACATACTTCTCTACAGTACTTCTTAATGCCTGGTTTCCCAAGAGGCTTCCGAACTAAAATTCTGTATGTAATCCTTGTTTTGAGAGATTTAAGGTTCATGTGGTAGCAAGTATGAAGATGATTGTCTTCTGCATTGTTGTGTCGTGTAGTCTGGCAGACAGGTGATGAACCATGATGATGGATGCAGCAAGCACCTCTGAAATATTGGTCAAATTATATACCAGAGTACATGGCGCAACAACTCGCAAGACTGTCATCTTCATTCCTTGTCTTCTCCATCTTAGATGCATGATAAACCCAATGCTGTCTCCTGTATTTCATTACCTTAAGTTCTATACGACCTGTGTCAGTCAAAGCATTCCTCCTCATGTAATGTCCTCAGTTGCTCATCCTTATTAGGTCCTATTCTCACATCCTCATGCACATTTCACAAGTGGCTTGTTTCCTTCAGGCTTCTTGACTACTAATCTAGAAGTTTCATCATCATTTGAGGGCCCTGACAACTGTAGATAAAAAGTAGAAATTATAAGAAGTCTCATACAATTTTTTACTGCCTCCTGTCAATGAAGCAGGTGCTGATATAACTAATCTCTTCACACAACACAAACTTAACATCTCTCTGCGGTTTTCCTTCATTCAGGACAAAAACTGGCAGCAGATCCTGGAGTTAGCTCGAGAGAAGCACTGTTTTTCTCAGGCTGTCCCATCCATGTACCCTGTCATGTTGGGGAAGGCATATGAGCTGTCAATTTCTCTGGAGAACTATGGTAGTAGTGACACAGTGCCCACTGCAAAGATATACCAGCCACTAAGGCAACGAATATATGGGGTGCTTCTCCATGAGAAACCTACGGCTACTACTGTCAAGGAGTGGTGCATTGACAGCAAGACGATCCCTACCGAACCAACCGAAGTCTCAGTTATGAGAATTTGTAACATTGGTAAGTCCATAGTATTATTAATTGATAGTACTAGAGCTTACTGAATCCAACAGGCTCTGAGGCCTACCCAGCCTCCCATTCCATGTGCACCTACATGGTGCATAACAGGATGGATTTACCTTTCTTCTTCTTCTTCTATGACTCTCCTGTCCGTATTTGGTCCATGGCCTCCTCAATTCTCCTCTTCCATTCGGTCCTACTGTTAGGTCCATTCTGTCCGAGGCTTTGATTTGAGGTTCCGAAACATCTTCCTTTTTACGTTGCAAGGTTGTTAGCCTTGCAACCAACCCCCAACCTGGAGGACTTACCTTTACTATAGTTTATTAAAGGGTTATAATCTGTCCTTGATCAGCACAGGTATAGGTAAGAAGGAAAACAGCCCAATAACACAACAGGAAGCTCATGAGTGAACAGTTAAATGTATTTAGTAAGGCAAGGAAGTATGTTACCATGTAGCCATTAGTATGAGTAAGCATCAATAACTATTAAAAACTGCCACTGGACTCGGGGTCAGGGTTTAAGTTTTCATTTGATCTGTTTCATGATGATAATCATGAATAAACAATTCAACCGATGTATGATCTGAAGCTTTCACAGCAACAGAGTATAATGAAGAATTAATTATATACTTCAACTGAGTTAATTTTCACCATGAATAGAAATTGACTCTGTGTTGCAGAAAGATTCCACCCGGGGCTTATAAAGCTGTGGGACGAAACATGTGAGCCTTATTGCAGGTGGCATTTGTTTGCACAGAGTTTAACAGAAGAGAAAAAATTGGATGCCAAGATGCTTGAGAGACTGGGTTTACCATATGCTGTCCCAGTTGCAGTGCTTTTCTACTTGTTAAATGTAAGTTTATCGAAAGTAGTGTTTAACATGGTCTGATTAATTTATAAAATTAAAGAATTTTTACAAAGTATTTATTAGTACATTGCTGCTTGTGCAATATTTAAGCTACCATGATAAATATCTCCTTGCACACTGTTTAATATATATATATATATATATATATATATGGATGCTTAAGTTTGTGATGCCAACAAACATTTTATTGTATGGCAGTTATTTACAGCCTATTGATAGTGCAATTTACTGAATGCAAAATATCTGCAAGCGTCAGCTGTGTCACAGTAACAGAGGAAGAGAAGATGGAAAGGGCAAGGTAGGGAGCATGATACTTCATGCGATATCACTTCCCTTCCCTCACTATACCTTGGTTGGCTGGTCGCCATTGTGTGTGTTAGTAACAATCAACAAAACAGACATGAAAGTGCCGTACATTCACACAATTCAGTGGTTAAACCATTACAGCACACTCTTCTGGAATATAAACTTTCTAAACCCTGCATTTTGCTCTTGCTTCAGGAGTGCACAGAGGTACTGACAGAAGTAGACGTAGATGTGATTCTTGCTCAGGCAGTTCTTGTCAGGTTGTACACCTGTGACAATTTAAAGGACATCAGGTACCAACACGCAGAACCAACAGTTATTCATCTGTCCACCATCTTCAACAGGGGTGTGACCACAGTTCTGTTCCTGCTTTCTGCATGTGGCTTTGAATTGAAGGAGGTACAACATTTCAACAAAGAACTTCATTCATACTATTTTTGGTTCAACCAAATTTTAGAGGAAACACTAATTGTTGATATATGGAATGGGAAAAGAACACACACAGAATTTTTATTTGGAAATTTCTTGAGAAGTGTTCATGTGGAAGAAAAACCAAGACAAAGATGAATTAATGATAACTTCTTATCAGCAGAGTATGTTTGGAGTGTGCTCACTCCCGCATGCTGAGATATTTTAGAATATATAAAATGGCAATTTGTTATTCTTGGAAAGCTACTTTTGATTTGCATCTGATTTCCACGTAAGTCTCTGTATGCTCAGATAAGTACTGTAAGGCAGTTTGCTACAATGACATGATTGTTAAAAAACAGTTTAGGCTCGATAAAAAAATACCCTGTTCTGAAGACACAGTTCCATAGTTAAAAAAAGACTGAGTATGTATAATCAATCACTGGCAGTGTACATACAAGAAATTGCTGAAGTTATAAATCAGGATGCCTCATGCATAGCAGTCAAAGGGTTAAGATATATTGCAGAAAGATAAGTCACAATGACATGAACTAACAGAATGCCCTAGAACAGTGGTATTCAACCTTTCTTGTTCGCGTACCCCCAGATATAATTTCTCTTACACTTTGTACCCCCAAAGTTGTTGGTGTATAATTCAAGTTATACGTAGTATATAATCTACATTTAAAATTAATTAAATAAATTACATTACTGCTTATTCAGTGTTTATCATTAAATAATATATATATATATATATATTTTTAAAATTTCACGTATCCCCTAAGATGTCTTCGCGTACCCCAGGTTGAATACCACTGCCCTAGAACATTCAAAGATGTTATGAGTTTTGATGAAACAGTTTATAGTACTGGTCATCTGCCTGGTATTTGTCATTCAATCAAAATTAAGCATGGAAGAAAACTCCATGTTGCATATTGCCATCATTTATATGAAGTAGTTGTAGGAAATATCTTCAAGCACTGTATAGGACAATCGAGTGGCCCAGAAATTAGTCTTTTAAAATGATTTCATCATAAATGTTCTGACCCTGCTGGACAACCTATATGACGTTACTTGGCTGGCTTATGCTGTATGTTGCATGGATCTAAAATTTTCACATACTTTAATTTATCTGGTGTTTAATAACATTCCTGTAAGTTGGAATTATTAATGTTCCAGGCAATGCCATGGCTTTACTTTGATGGTAAACTCTTCCAACAAAAATACAATGAGGCAAAGAGGAAACGGGCAACCCAGGAGAAGCTGTGTGAAGACAAGGTAATAAAGGTTCCTCATACAAATAATAACTAATCTCATCAGTAAACATGGCCAGATATTTATGACTGGCATCAAATGTCCTGCATTATCCTGCAATTTAAATAATTTTTGAATACACAATTCCACCAGAAGAAGGCTATCTTCTGGGTTGTTGTACCATGCAGTCTGGTAGAAGTTTACCAACATTTCAGAGGTGGCTGCTGTCTTTATCCTCAGTGTGATAAGACTGCCTTGATTATGGAGGTATCAAGCACCTCTGAAATGTCAGTAAACTTCTACCAGACTGCATGGCACATCTTTCATATTTTTTTACTTGTCTGTTAAACAGTTAGCATTGGCATCAAATACGTTTGTGTTATAATATTTAGAAACAATCAAATAACACAAAGCTTACCATTATATTTCAGAAAGAAGTATTGCTCAAATTCAGAGAAATGAAAAGGCTTGTGCTGCCACAAATTTCATGGCGGTAATTTCAGGAGTCAGCCCTCATTCCTCCAAGTATGTTGGCTGTGAAGAAGTTGATAACATTGTTATTGTTGAAAGATGGGCTTTCATGTGCGCTTTTTCAGTACAAAATTTTTGTATGAATAAACACCATATTTTGTACTACAAATACTGATGTGTCTAGATGTCACAGAAATGCAATAGGAATGCAAAATGTAATATTTTAATAAAACACATTGTCCATCCATATCAGTTCTTCTGTGAATTCACCCATATATATTAAAATACTTAAAAATCTGACGAAGCACCTTTAATTTCACTCATGACCTTCCCGAATCATTCTGTGACCTCCTTATCGAAGGCCTCACACACAACACTTCAAGAATAATTCATTTAGGCAAATAATATTATTTGAATAATGAACAAAGAATATGTATTACTTTCACATGCTTCTGTTATGTGAAAAAACTGATATTATTCTACTACAGTATGTGGATCATTTTATATCCCAAGTTAAATACAGTAAGGTGTGGGATTCCAAATCTGTAATTTTTTAAGTGAAACTTTTACAATATAAATATATTGTATTTTCTGCTTGCAGTTGTTTATCTTGGGACAAGTCTCAATTTTACTTAAGTCCTGCCTTTTTAAGTTGATCTAACGTCCTGAAAATACTAGTATAAAAATGGAAAAAGAAAATGGCGCGTGAGCTACAGTTACGGGCGACTATAAATTTCATGGAATTGTGACGCAAAGCTGTTTGCCGATTACAGTATGTTTACCCTACGTCACAGTTTCGATGTTAGAAAATATCTCCAAAATAAACTATTCGTTTCATACCACGTAATATTGTTACATTATATGGCTGAGATAAACTGAGATTGGGGTCTTCAGTTTCAGAAACTTTACGGAAATACCAATTGTATTACAAATTTTTACGCCAGTCGGCAGTTACCACAGACACTGATTATCTTATGAAGGGAGATGGAGACAAGATAAATAAATTGTGTAGACGAAGGCATCAGACGTTTATTGCACAATTTGTTCCGAATGTTTGCGTTGGCCAGCCTGATCGACCTTGGATTGTACGTAATACCATATCCGTTGAAAGATGGCATTCTCTTAGGCTCGATGCACACGAGCGAGAAAATGTCGCGCGAGCTCGCAGCGAACTCGCAGCGAGGAAACCCGTGACAGTGCACACGTAGCGTCATCGCTGCGAGTTCGCCGAAAAACTCCCACCCGTACTAGATTGGATGGCAACCTAAATGGATGTGTACAGAAGAAAACGTGTAGTTTTGCCTATTTCGTTTATGAATACATCCTTAAAAAACGGAATAGGAAGTTTAAGGTTTACATGCGTCATGTTTGTGTTTTTGATTAAAATATATAATAAAATTCAGGTCAATACACAAAACTTTATTTGGATGTTAAAATTTAAAATTTAAATGTTAAAATTTTAAATTTTAAA